CTGAACTGTTCCCGGTTTTGGGACAATTTATCCTTGTCACAATAACTCAAATTGCCTCCTTATCTTCTCTGGTGGCTTTTAGATCTGCGCAATAGCAACTGGGGATTCATTCCCCCTACTTGTTTTTAAGGCCTTGACTAAGACAATTACACACTACGTGAGCTAGTAACTAATAGAGAAATCTTCGGGTATATGAATTGCCCATTGTAGGTGTTGTTCTCCCCCCAGGGACTACAGGAGACCGAGTTAAAGCCTCAAGTTGAACTCCCATATGCAGAACTATTTAGCAAACCTCCTTGTGTTCCAGCCTAGGGAAGATTACCTTCATAGGTAACTCACTAGTTGGGTTTTCTAAAGTGTTTTGACTCCAGTTCTGCTCTTGCACCTGATATAGCAGAATCCAGAATAATTTGGGTCAACTTTAGGTTTCTCAATGCAGCAATGCTGTTAACAGCACTGACAGTATGAGATGTAAGTGAAGAGAGTTTGTGAAGAGAGGCGATATCTTCTATTAGACCAATTTTTACATAGATTAATTTGGATTTCAGTTTTCTGACCTGCGTTTTTCATGTCTTAACTACCAACCATTGACATTTGCTTCCTCCTGCTAGATCTTTTCTAACTCTATTGCAAGAGCTAAATTAATATTGCTGCAATATTTGAATTGCCATTTACATTTCCTTTTAAAGATCCCACTGTCTGGCTGGCAGCATTTTCAAGTACCTGAAAACCTTTTAAATCTGGTGTCTAGCTTCTGGTCTGTGCTTCCTTTTGCCCACCTGTAAAACACTGGTAGTAAAATATGCAATGTATTGCGGTGCACTATTAATAGTTACTAAACTTGGCTGTGGTTTTTGCAAATCCTGATGATAATATTTAGCAAACTCCCAATGTGTTTAGTCTTTCAGGAAGGAAGGAATAGGTAATTTTGAGAGGGAGAAATGTGCCACTTGCATTTCTGTAAAAGTGATGTGTGCATATGCCGTACCTGTGAATTTTATGGTACCTTGCTCAAGTCAGGAATGAGTCCATATGGAGTTGCTGCAACTGGCTGCAAATCTGGGGGAAAAAAGGTCCAAGAATCAGCTTTTGATTGTTGTTTTTGGACAGGTTTGTTGTCCTTCAATGACTTGTATATAGACAGCAATATTTGGGCAGCATGGAATATGCCTCTCTCTAACTTACAAAGAGATAAGCTTTCAAGAATGCGGTTTTAACTGGCTTTTTCTGTTCTTGTTTTTATTTTCAGTCCTACCTCCTGTACTCGTTCCAAGACACAGTGAGTTTAACCCTCACCTCAGCCTCCTCGCCAAGTTTCGAAACACTTCTCTGCACAGCGAGCCGCTGATGCCGCACAATGCTACCTATCCTGATTCTTTCCAGCATCCTCCATGCACCCCTTTTCCATCATCACCCAGCCACATGTTCTCCCAGTCACCTAACAGTATCAGCTACCCCAACTCACCAGGAAGCTCTTCTGGACCAGGAAGTCCCTATCAGCTCACAGGTAAGAATGAGCTTTCAGACATCCCAACTGAGGCGGTTGAGGTTCTTGCCATGGCCTGGGGTCAGATGCCAATTCTGTGTGCTTCCCCCAGGCTGTAGCTACACAGTGAAATGTTGGACAGGATGGATTTGGAATGTGATTTCTTGTGACTGTCTCTTAGTATTGTCTCCCAGTCCTTCTGATGGATGCTCAAGGGACTAAGAGCTGTAGTCATCCCACTCCTAGAAGTGCCTGGATGAGGTTTCATGATTACTGTAAGGGGAAAGTTGAGGAGAGGAGCAGGTGTGCCAGGCCACCTTCTGCCTAAAGCTGCCCATCCAAGCTTCTGGTACAACCCATGGAAAAGAGCACTTGCAACACCTAAGTTACGCACCTCTGATGGAGATGGTCAGGGACCAAGAGACCTTTAGAAACTCCATCAAGAGAGACAGGATAAAATGGGGAAATTGGTATGCAGAAATATTTTTTTAATGTATGGTGATCCCACTGACTGTATAAACTTCAGGAAATTAAGGTGTTTAACAATCTGGCCCAACACTTGGTGAAGACACCAGGCAATTTCCTATGACTTTGGAACGTGTTTCATCAGCTCCACAGTTCTGAGGTCACCAGGGTTATGTCACTCAGATTGTTTGCATTGTGAACTCCTTCATTAGTACTCCTCTAATTACCTGAGAATTTAACTATGCTTTTGCTGTTAAATATACCAAGATGTCATGCAACACAGCTGAGAGCTAGCTTTAATATCAAAACATGGTTCAGATTCACTTCTGCACTTTGTTGTAAATCTCAAATAGTTTCAATGATCTCAACTTTTTTCACAAGGATGAATTCAGGTCAGAATCTTGTAGCTTAATGTTTTAATGTCTCAACTACAAAGCATTTAAATTCATGTCCTTAATGATATGCCTGTTTTGATTTTAAGTGCAAGAAAGGTGTTTATTTTTACAAGGTATTTGTAGTATTTGAACTTCCTTTTAAGCTGGACACTTTCAACACAGTGTGATGTTTTTCCTTCCCTCTCCATTCATTGAATGGACCTTCATTCATTTCTTCTTTAGATCTATACTTCAGATTAAATCATATTTAGCAACATTGAAACATTTCAGCAAGTTGTAGGACTTGTTTGTCTTCTCCCATCTTTTTCTTTCACCTCTGTGTAACCAAGCTGGATTCAGTGGAGCTGGTCCTGACAGGTAAATCAGTCCCATTCCAACTATGTAATGACTCTTGACTCGTGCATTTAGCTGAACTTGGGACCTCACAAAGCTACTTAAAAATGGAAGTGGCTCAACCTGAGCTTCAGTATATCATAGTATACAGCATGCTGATAAGCATAATTTGCCTGTGTAACAATCAGGGATGGAAGACTATCTAAAGCAAACTGGAGTTACATCAAGAACCTTGAGTGGGATTGGTGTGACCAACTATAGATGTCAACAATGCAAATTTCTACATCTCATGCAATTGTCTATACCCTCTCTGTAATCAGTGGAGAAAAACAGGCACTCCTAGAACAAGTTTTGTTGCATCTTAAGGTATATGTCTAAAGTAGCTGAGATGTACCACGTCTGCGGTGCCTATTTTTCTGTAGTGGGTATAAGGAGAGCTTATGGTGACTAGCTCAGGTGTAGACATCAAAAATACCTGTATAACCACATCATATTCCTTTCTGTGACTTGTATTCTCTTCCACTCTTTCTTGATTTTGTTTTACTATTCTAGCTGGATGCATTTTCTGTGGGAGGGTTATCTATATGTTAGAAATATCATATAGTGTATGAAATTCCTAAATGCTGAACAATGCTTAAATAGAATAACGTTCATGTGCAGTACTTACTTGGAAGATTCAATGATTGTGTTATGAGACAGCCCACATTTCACTCTGGGTGAAGTTGCTCTGTTTTGGGAGCCAGCCAACAGATCCCGAACACAAGAGGAAATTTCAACCCAGAACCAGGTTAAACCCTGCTCTTCTTAAAGAGACCCTTAGTCCTGCAAATTTGCATATGGCTATAATTTATACATAAGTCCACTGAGTTTCTGTTCAAATGAATAAAACTATATACTTTTAGTGCTGTTGCAGTGAATGTCAGCATTTTCTAATATGAAAATGATGTCCCTTTTTCTTTGGCTTTCTAAAGCCTCCTGTCTTTCTTGAGAATCCCCACTATAGAGTCACCTTCTGTTTTCTAGCTTACTGTGCCATAAATGAAACAAATCAGGAGCTGGGCAGGTTCTGAGTTGATACTTTTTCTCCCTATTTTTTCATCACATCCATTGCGCTTTGATGGGAGACTGAACAAACCAGAAGAGGGCCAGCCTTCCCTTGTAAGACAAAGGTAAAAAGGACAAATCTGGAGGGAGTTTTGCCAAGTCTGATTTTAGAGTATAAAGGCTTTCCATAGGCTTTTTCTATAGTCTGTGAAGAAAGAGAGCTTTCTCCTCCCAGAGGATCAATAAAAGTTAGCAGCTTCTCTTAAATCATCCTCTTCAAGTTTTACATTTGCAAGAGAAATCTGAAACTGAAGGATCAAACTGCGTTACTTTCTTATGGTAACAACTCGTACTAACAGAGAGTTTGACTGGATACCAGTCTAGGCCTGAGGCACTGTTGTGACTGTTCTTCTCTCTTTCAAGTGCAGCATGTCCAACATGACAGCCCTTCCTTCCTGTCCTCCCTGAGTGGTCTTAGTCTGGAGACTGAAGGGAGGTCATGTTCAGATTTGTGCTCTGTTTCCAGCTCTTCTCTAGCTAAACAATGCTGAATAAGTGCTAAATGCTCACCAGGAAAAGCCAGGGGGAATTTACCAACTTACTGATCTAGGTGTCTTTTCTTTCTTTTCTTTCTTTTCTTCTTTCTAATAGTGGAAACTCCACCCCCGCCTTACCATGCAAGAGAACCTCCAGGAAACCACAATGGGCGGTCAATGGATGCAATAGCTGAAAGTCAACTAGTGCTGTCTTTGCCCAATGGAGGTAAATCTGCCGATGGAGAAGCTGAAAGTAAATAACCATTTGTACTATTCTTCAAAGAAAAACTGTTAAGCAAAAAAATTGTTATTTGAACAGGGTTCAGTGATCTGTAGTAATAGGTTTCAGACAGTTTTACAGTAAGGCTGTGTACTAGACCTATTAGTTAGCAGAATAGGTTGATTTAAGAATTTAGTGAATTATGTGTGAAGTTACAGAGTTTAGACCTTATTTGCATCCATGGACTATTACATTTAGAAAGCTGTTAATGAAAGCAAACATTGTTATCTATGTTGTAAAGACAAAGATATCAAATCACAAATGGTGAGGCAATATAACACAAAAGAGCACTATCAATATCAGAACTGATTTCTTTATCACCTTCAGTTCTGGGTTTCAAGTACTTTAAAGCCTTGTGGTTGGGATCTTTCTTACTGCCATCTTTGTATTAATGTTACGTTACTGGCTGGCTAGAAAAGAAAAGGACGTGTTCTAGTGAAGTACAAAGACATTTTTACAGAAGGCCAAACTGTCCTCATATAAGAATGCTTTAGTGGGAGCGGGCATAGGTGGTCAGACTAGAAGGGACTGGGATCCTCCTTGTTCCCCTCAAAGCAACTTCATGACCTCTCCAGCATGGTCTCCACTACCTCCAGACTAGCAGTGGTAGGTGATGCCTCCACCATTTGAAGCCCATTGCTGCAGAGCAGCAAAGGGAAATGGTGTTCCTCTGCTGGGTTTTCCTTTGGCTTCCTCCAAATGCAAAGGAAACATCAGCATTGTTCTTTTAGTGCAGAATCCCGGATGAGCCCCCAGCCAACAGGTCGAGGGAGGTGATTCTGCCCCTCTACTCTGCTCTGGTAAGACCTCATCTGGAGTACTGTGTCCAGCTCTGGGGCCCTCAGCACAAGAAGGACAGGGACCTGTTGGAGCAGGTCCAGAAAGAGGGCCACCAAAATGATCCGAGGGCTGGAACACCTCTCCTATGAGGCCAGGCTGAGAGAGTTGGGATTGTTCAGCCTAGAGAAGAGAAGGCTGTGAGGAGACCTTATTGCGACCTTACAGTACTTAAAGGGGGCCTACAGGAAAGATGGGGACAATCTTTTTAACAAGGCCTGTTGTGACAGGACAAGGAATAATGGATTTAAACTGAAGAAGAATAGATTTAGACTAGACATAAGAAAGAAATTTTTTACACTGAGGGTGGTGAAGCACTGGAACAGGTTGCCCAGAGAGGCAGTGGAGGCCCCATCCCTGGCAACATTCAAGGTCAGGATGGACGGGGCTCTGAGCAACCTGATCTGGTTGAAGCTGTCCCTGCTCACTGCAGGGGGGTTGGGCTAGATGGCCTCTAAAGGTCCCTTCCAACCCAAAGCATTCTATGATTCTATATTGTAGTGCTAAACAAGTGTCCTTTATGGCATGAGGACTGAACACGGTGCACACACATGCACGTTAAAAAAATAATGCCAGCCTTCTGAAACAGTAAGGAACATGTATGTATCACAGAACTGGAGCAGAAGGAAGATGAGGGTGACAGTGCCAATTACATATGGGTACACAGAATGGCCAGATAATAACTAGTTATCAAACACCAATACTTTTAAATAAATTGTCGAGATACTTTAATCTCTTTACGATAGTTTACCATCCGTGATCACTGCCCTAGTGAATATTAGTTGAAAGTTTATTAGAGGTTATGCACAGAGGTGCTCTGGGGGCAGGGGGTCTCACATGCCTGTGGTGGGCAGGCAGGATAAGATTTCCCACCAGTTCCTGTAGGATGAATGAGGGTCAGAGATTCTGTTACATTTTTGAGTCTCTGAGTTAGAAAACCTGGGCAAGGGTAGAACCAAAAGAAATTACCTTGCTGACATTTCTGTTTACAGTCCCACATGGAAGCGGAAAGCCCCAAAACATGCAAAAAATTGGGGGGAGTGATTGATTACTTCTGAACTTCAGAGTTTGGTATTAGGCTGAAGGCTTGCCTCAGTTTTGACTTGCTTTGAGCCCATCTGTCATCCCTAGCTCCTGGTGTGCAGAGCAGATGTGTCCCTTACTATTTTCAGTGTAGAGGTTGGGCCTGGGTTCAGCAAGGAATGTCAGCATGTGCTTAATTTAATGCAGTGGAGTTATCATTTTTAAGAACAAGTGGGCCTCCTTAGAGGCTTAGAGTTAAGCTGGTGTACCAGCCCTTTGCATGTTTGGGACTTCAGTCATAAAATTAAGAAGAAACAGAAGCTGCTGTGAAGTGACAGAAGTGACTGTTTAGATGAAGAGCTGGCAGGGTGGGAGTGGGAGGGAGGAGGGAAAGAAAACAGAGAATGATTGATTAAAAAATATTACTGAAACCTAAGCAGCTGATTAATTTTATTTCCTGCAGACTTTCGGCCTGTTTGCTATGAGGAACCCCAACATTGGTGCTCAGTTGCCTACTATGAACTCAACAACCGGGTAGGGGAGACTTTCCAGGCTTCCTCTCGAAGTATCCTTATAGATGGATTTACAGATCCCTCAAATAACAGAAACAGGTTCTGCCTAGGACTGCTCTCAAATGTAAACCGCAACTCTACTATAGAAAACACCAGGAGACACATAGGAAAAGGTAAGAGGAAATCCCTTCTCGTTGGGAATATTCAGAGCTTGAAAGAACCATGCATTGCATTAACAAACCTAGCTGATTTGTCAGATGTGCTTGACTTAAAACCAAAGCTCGGAGATTACTTCTGAAATAGAAGAAAAGCAGCTGATTCTTTTCTGACTGAATAACAGTCAGCAGAGTAGCTCCTTACAAAAGCTATTTACTTGGCCAGCAAAGAGAAAAATGTTGTTTATAGTTGTATGTTCTAATTTAGCAGTATGTATTTTCATTTTATTTATTAGAGCTTCTGGCAACTGGGAATATTGCCATTGAAATGCCACTAAAAGGATAATTGCTGGTGCCTCAGGGCTGGTTCTCCTACCACCAAATAACAAAGGGAGATGGATGAAACACTTAGTAGTTGAGTTATTTAGCTGAGGAGCTCTACCAGAGTTGCCTTTGTAGCTTTTCCCCCCCTACCAGTCTGATTCCCTGCCTTGTCAACTTCTCGCCTGTAAAACTAAGTCTTGGATTCTCCCTCCAGCAGTTGCTCCACTTCCTGCTTGTATGCTCTGCTTCTAGTGTACGTATACCCTGTGCTCACAGGAGCATATGCTGCTGGTGACAAGTAAGAGGAGACCACACCTGGACATGCATGGCTGCACACGCTCCATCCCAGCTCACTAGGGCTCTGTAGGGCCTGATATTCTCCCAGAACTTACTGTTGTTTGTGGCAGTGAGTCAGAAGCCCTGTACTGGCCACTTCTCTGTGCAGATGAAGGTTTGCCTGTTCTGGTATATCCAGTCTGGACTCATTATCTTGCCAACTCAGCCTCTCACCAGTGGCTGCCTGGGAATGGATTTCCCACTGGGCTAATTAACTCTAATTGTTCCACTCCTATTATCTTGTCAACCTCACCTCATTTCCCAGGCCTAGAGCAGTATTTTAATTGGCTCTTGATAGTCTAGTGTTGAATGACTGAATACAAGGAAACTCAGAGATAAATGTGACATAGGTTTTACAAACACCAGTGAACCTGAAGGCTAGCACAGGAGATGTATTTAGCTCTTGCACTTTTCTCTGGAAGGGAAAGCACTTGTGTTGCAGATGCACTGTGTGAAGCCAGTGTGATGATACAGGTGTCTGTCATAGGAGTTTGTTGCGAGGGATAAAATGAGTTGTAAGTCTAGTTCTAGCTTACTCAGAAAATAAAGCAAAGCTTCTCTATCAGCATAAGCTGGCAGAGAGGTGTAGGTTAAAGCTGAGCCTGGCCTTAAAAGAAAATGACAAAAGATCCCAGTCAAAGCTGTCATTTGAGGATGTTACATCCTGTGACTTTCTGCCCCAAAAGAGGAAGAGACAGAACAGGAAGAAAATGAGGTAAATGCTAATGGTCCTCATCCATTCAAATCTGAAGATCTGTCTTCATTGATTAAAAGTCCTTTAAAGTCTTACATCAGGAATCTGCCCAAGGGAAGGGAGCAGGTTGCCCAGAGAGGAGCTTAGTATATCAGAGATCCTTAATTTTACTGCTCTTCCCTGTTTATGCAAATCTTAAAAAACCATGTTGAAATGGAACAGAAGTGGCACCAGTACAGGCCTGCAGAAGAGCACAGAGCAGCTCCAAAAGTGTGCAGTTCAAAGGCATGCTGGACAGATGAAAGCTACTGAAATGGATACAATTGTCACATGTTAACAGGGGAAAAAAAGAATGAGTAAACAAGATTAGCTCAGTAGGATAAGGGTATGTGATTGAATTGTCATCTAGTGTATCAACGTGAAACGGTTTCCTGGAAATACCACATCAAAGCTAAAAACAATCCAGAACACAACACAACATCTACTAGCAATTGGACCTGTTTCAGCAGTCAGACTTCAAGGACAAAAAGGGGACTTCTGATCAGAGTGTCAAAAAGATGTGGATGCTTGGAGACTGCTGAATTTCCAGTTTCTGCAGAGAGCAATGAAATCCCACTAAAACATATGGACCCTTGATTTGGTCTTCTACAAATATGTATTCAGCTGTTTGGCTTCCTTGAGGGTGCTTGTCTCTGGCAAATGAATACCAGAAGAATGGAAATACACACTGACATTTCATTACTGCTGTATTTATTGCTTTTAAAAAGTCCACAAGGAAAAAGCAAATTGTAGCCTCTGCTTTCAGAAGTGACTTTGGTGTTTTTGTTATTGTAGTACACAGTTTGGGCAATGCCTTTGAAAGTGTTCATTTTTTTCAGAAGTTGGGTTACTCAATATACTTCGAAAATCCAGCCTTTAAAATTTTTCACCTTAGCACCCAGAAGTGTGGTCACCCTAAATGACTAGCCACACATGAAGGTCTGAAATGTGGTGAACATTTCTGTCCTTATTATTCTCTCCCTACCCTGTGTTCTCACTCTGTTTATTTCAGAAAGTTATACGGACTCCATCAAGGTCAGCTAGGACCTTTATGTTTTCAGTCCTTCCCTTTTATCCATCTTCCACAGAAGGGACAGGAGACATAGGTCAAGCAAAAGCAGTCACAATGTGCAGCACCCCATAACGTCTGGTGCAGTTGGACTGGAGCTGACTGGTCTGATGGAGCTGTCATCTCACCCGTGTTCCCAGTGCAATACTAGCGTGTGCTCTGAGCCACACCCCCCACCACTCACATTTAATTTGAGATCTCGTGGGTGCATAGAAGTAAAAGTCAAGTGATGGCTTGAAGACAGACTTTAAGGTTCCCATCTGAGTCACTCTGCAAGTCTATGGGAGAGAGTATTTTTCCCAGATTCCTTTCCCACTCAACCTGCTTTTCCCCGAGCCTTTCCCACTTCTGTTTAGAGGCTGGTTTTGTCCTAAGGATGTGCTGCTGCCCCTTGCTGTCATGACCACAGAATGATGAACAGACTGGGAATATGCAACCAGTCTTTTTTGTATGAAAGACAACAGGAATAAAACTAATTACAACTGAATTATTAAAGCATAGTTATCACTAGCTTTGCAGGCAGTCCCCTGAGACTCTGTGAACATGTGCATTTGTATGTAAGGGTTTGAATGCCATACCTGGGAATAGAGAGGAGGATTTTATTTTTATTTAGTAGTGGTTTTTATGAGAACAAAGAACTGAGTTCTTCCACCTCTCTTGGCCATGGGAGGGGTTCATCTCACCTAATCTAGCCATGGGAAGGGTGAATGTCTATAAGCATCTTCACAGGATGACTCGTCCCCCTTCAGGGTCTGGTTCCATGCTAATGTTTAAGCAGTCTGGGTCCCCATTGCCACCCTTGCACTGATGAAGATCTCACTGAAAATAAATCTTCTTTTGTTTTGTTTTGTTTGTTTTTAAGTTTATTAGCTGGTTCAGTTCCCCAATCTGGATGGCTGCCCAGTCCCCAGCCATTGCTGCCAGCATGAAAGCTGGTGTGGGAAGAAGCAGCAGGGGCAGGGAACGAGAGAGCCTTTTCAGCACCTGCACAGACTTCCATCAGTTTAAGCTGACTGTGAGCCTGCACTCTGTAGCGGATGGAGTGAATCATCTGGTCACGGTGCCTCTCATCAGCTAGAGAAGACATCTACACAATACACAAGATCCCTAACTTTAAGGTTGCTGAATTGAGCTAAGATAAATTCTCCCACCAATTTAGGTATATTTTCATGCAAGTAGGCATCCTGGGGTGACCAGAGTCTTTGAATGGACAGAAATTATTCCATCTTCATTTCCCCAAGGCATGGTAAAAATCTGAGAGTTAGTGTTGGTAAGTCACCTGGGCACTGAAAAGTCCAGAAGGAAATCAGTCATTGTCTTGCCAAAGGCCACTTTGAACAGGATCTGATGAGTAAGTCACGTCATGTAAATGCAAATACATGGTTCTGATGTGGTGGATAAAGCAAAATACAGAAAAGCTATTTTAAGTGCACACCATGCTGTGTTTGAACTGCACAAGATAGGATCCTGTAGTAAAAAAATAGCGTGCAATGAAGTGGGTCATGGTCAGCGTGCATGTGCTCAGCAGTGAAAATACATTTAGATGTGTAATGCATAACAGATTTGTCAGTTCTTTGGCAGTTTTGATCCACGCTTTGTATATGGTTGACATATGTTTGGTATTTATGTGTGTGTATATGTACGTGTATATGTGTCTTGTCACAAAGTACTGTGCTGTTGGGTTAAAGAAGTAAACCAACCTGAGAAACAAAGAAAAACATAATGTGCCAAGACTTTCTTCTGTTAGACCAGAACCTCAAAATAGTGTTTATGACAATTTCTTCTTAATGTTGGTCAGACCATTGTACAGATACATGGATATGCACACAGTTTACTGTCTTTTAAAAGGCAGTGTGAGTGCCTGGAATGATCCAGGGCTTGTATGCCCACACCAGTAAAACAGTTAAAGAATTATTGGTATAAAGTGTGTTGTGAACAACAGAGAAATAATACATGCTATTTTTCTTTTTCAAGGTGTTCATCTTTACTATGTTGGTGGGGAAGTTTATGCTGAATGTGTCAGTGACAGCAGTATTTTTGTGCAAAGCCGCAACTGTAACTACCAGCATGGTTTCCACCCAGCGACTGTCTGCAAGATCCCCAGTGGCTGCAGCCTCAAGATCTTCAACAACCAGCTCTTCGCCCAGCTGCTTGCCCAGTCAGTCAATCATGGTTTTGAAGTGGTGTATGAGCTGACCAAGATGTGTACTATTCGAATGAGCTTTGTTAAAGTAAGGATTCTTTGGTTTCTCTTGCATTTCTGAAAAGGCAAATCCCATCACTTGCTAGCTTCACTAGCTAAATCCCCCAAGTGCAGATTTAGACACCCAACTTACAAATAGCAATTCAGACTGCCTGTTTTCCAGCATTGCCTTAAACTTCTAGGTGCTTAAAATCAGTAGCTTTTGTGGTCAACCTGGAAATTTCTTAGATTCCAAAAATTAGGTATTCCATAGGCTCTTTGTGCAAAATAAGCAGAGATTGAATGATGTTCCCCTGTTGATTGCATAAAGAGCTCAATTTAGAGGGGCTTAGCAACATGTAAATGTTGTAGCATGTATCTTTGGAAGTTGTGACCTCTCCTATCATTACTGCTTTGCAATAGAGCTTGGTAGAACCATAGATCTGAAAAGAATATCCTTATGTCTCTAGACTAATTTACAGTCTCAGCATTACTATAGACTGGTATGTATGGTCTCAGTCAAGAAACACTGGGTCCTCCTTCAGCCCCCGCTGAGCTTCCTTGGGAATTGTTGTTTGCCACGTGTCTGATCCCTGGCAAGAGACTGTCTTAATTTCTGATGACATTCACTCTGGCCAGCCACACTACCAGAAGGTTCTTCTTGCAAGCGGAATACAAAACCCAGAAGAACATCTGACCTTTCCCCCTGTTATTTGGAAGACACAGGAGGCCACTAAAGCCATTACCGTTTCCATGTCTTTCATATCTGACCTTTACAGTCTGATTTCTCTGTGTGCGATGTATCAGTCTTTGTGGGAGTTTCTTAAATCTTCTGAATGGCTTTCTCACCAGAATGAGATCTTTTGACTCCTTTTAGCACTTAGGATTTACTTACGTGCCTATTGTAGCATCTAAACGCCAGAGAATGGTGAGTATTTCAAGACTGTTTACAGATGTGCTAGACTGACACAGGGAGAGCTGGCAGCAATGTTCAGCCTGCAAACTAGAGAAGTTGCACCATTAGAAGCAAGTTGGTCCTGTTAGGTACCATAAGAAGTGGCTTGAGTATGTTCCTTTGTCTTGCAGATTTGATTCTATACAAATGACTGAATCAAGCTGATTGAATTCATATCTAAGATACTACAAAACTGCCTGAGGCTCGAGCCCACTTCCCCTGCGTTCTGCAAAATAGATGAGTTGAGTCCCACGCAGCTTGCTGGTTCTGACTCTTTCCAGCCATCCTTGGGGACCCATCTTCTTAACTCTCTGAGAGCATTAAGAGTGCCCTGTAACTTTCCCAAGAGTCCAAGCCAAAATATCTCTCCCCGTGACCATGCTGTTGCTTTTTTCTTGGGAAGGAACTGACATCTTGTTCACATGCAAGCATTAGGGGAAAAAAAGAGAGCAAGAAACCCAACAAACAGCATTTTCTTTAATGGAAGACATGAATGGGCATGTTGTTTGTAAAGGCAGTGTAGCCAGTTACGCAATATTTTCATTATCTCAG